CTGACATGCAACTGACATGCAACTGACATGCAACTGACATGCAACTGCAGAGCCTTCATCTGCTCATCAGAGATGGGAAGACGACCTGGGGGCTGCCTCTGCAGTGCGGGACAGTGACAGGATGTCAGGGTGGCGGGGTTCGAGTTCTGTGTGAGACACTGCTGTAACTCTTGACTTGTCCTCTCTCCCTCCCTTTGCTGACGTTGGAGTGCTCTGATTCTCAGGTTCCATTTTGTATTTCAGAAATTAAAGAACATCGCTTTCCCTAAAGCGGAAGAACTGAAGACAGAACTCTTGAAAAGATACACCAAAGAATATGAGCAGTATAAGGAGAGGAAGGTCAGTGTGCACAGCGTGTGTGCTGCTTAGCCAGCCCCGGTCAGCGCTGTGCTGGGGCAAATGGAGTCTGTGAACTTAATGGGCTACTTTGGTTTGGGGGCACAAAGGCCAGTGACTTAAAAGAGTTACCAACCAGTAGAGATGTGAAGGATTCTAACAGCTTAGGCCTATGTGTCCAAGAGGGTGACTTGAGGACGGACATCTGTGACCTTTCTGCCGCATCTACAGCAAGAAACCTGCCCATCGTGAAGATTCTCCCCAGAACATAAAGCCTTTCAGATCTCAGGAGTGGGAAGTTTAGGTCATGTGCTTATCCCAAAAGCTTTTTGTAGTCATTGATTTCCCCAGTGGTATGCAGTGGGTCTTGTTTAGAATAGTTTCAGCTTGTGGAGAAACCCTCAGAGTCCTACACTGTTTGCTTGTAGGGCAGAGATACACACTGTGGGGGTACCTGCATGCTAATGTGTAGCTGTCTGCTGGGCTCCGTTCTGCACACAGGTGCTGACAATCAGCAGAGGGATTAGTGGCTCTGAGCCGTACATTCCTAAGGCATTAAGTGGAAGGGGTTTGTTCATTGATACTTTTTAGTTTAAATATCACTGTATTTAAATAATCACTAAAAAAGTTTTGGCGGCTCCAAGATAGAAGGTCTAAGCTTGGATTTTATTTTATAGCCTTGTTTGGGACACCAGGCATTTTACATAGACATATCTGAGATACAGGTATCTGAGACCCAGATCTATCAGATACAGGTACAGGTTATGTAGGACGGACAGCTGAGGTGCATCATGATTTAAAGTAAAGAGTAAAGAGCAGTAGAGTGCCAGTGCCCTAGTTGCTTCCCTGTCGCCATGCTAAAGCACTCCCACAAGAGCAACTTAAAGGAGAAAGCATGGATTTTAACTCACAGTTCCAGGTGCAGCCCACAATAGCAAGAGCTTAAAGCAGTTAACCACATTTCATCCATAGACAAGACCAGGGAGGGGCTGGTAAAATGGTTCATTGGGGAAAAGATGCTTGCCTCCGAGTCTGACGGCCTGAGTTCAACCCTTGACCTACGTAGTAGAAGCAGAGAGCTGAGTCTCACGAGTTGTCCTCTGGCCTTCATACATGAGCCTCGGTGCATGTTCCCACCCCATTAAACATAAGTAAATGTAACTTTGAGATTAGAAATCAAGGGAGCAGCATGAATGCTTGCACTCTGGTGTCCCACTCCCTCTTGCCATTTCAAACCGGCTGGGACTCCCCCTCCCCCCACACAGGGAAGGGTCCCATTTGTAACTGAGATGGGTCTTCCCAAACAAAGTAACTAAGATGACCCCTACAGACAGCTCATCGTGTTTTCAGGGTGATTCTAAAGCCTGTCACGTTGGCAACGAACACTAGCTTTCACATCGATGCGCCTTGAAGATAGGAACTTCTGCTGTCCTTGAAAATGGGTTATTAGCCGGGCAGTGGTGGCGCACGCCTTTAATCCTAGCACTCGGGAGGCAGAGGCAGGTGGATTTCTGAGTTCGAGAGTTTGAGGCTAGCCTGGTCTACAGAGTGAGTTCCAGGACAGCCAGGGCTACACAGAGAAACCCTGTCTCAGAAAACCAAAAAAAGAAAAGAAAAGAAAAAAGAAAAAAAAGAAAAAGAAAATGGGTTATGGTGGCTTGGTCAAGTGGGATGGTGACTGTACTCCTTGGCTTTAAGAGGTATTGAATAAAGCATGAATTCTGGATTGGGACGTGAGACCAGAGCAAAACTATACTTTGGACATCTCTGTTCCGATGCTTTTCTTATGAAATGTTAGCCTAGAAACTTTACTTTCTCTGTAGAAAAAGGAAGAAGAGGAACTTGCCCGAAATATTGCCATCCAGCAAGAGTTGGAAAAAGAGAAGCAGAGAGTTGCCCAGCAGAAGCAGAAGCAGCTGGAGCAGGAGCAGTTCCATGCCTTTGAGGCGATGATCCAGAAGCAGGAGCTGGAAAAAGAGCGGCTAAAAATTGTTCAAGAGTTCGGGAAGGTAGACCCTGGCTCAGGCGGGCCTCTGCTCCCTGATCTGGAAAAGCCTTGTGTAGACGTGGCTCCCAGCTCACCTTTCTCACCCATGCAGACTTCAGACTGTAACACAACCATGAGGCCAGCTAAGCCACCTCTGGTGGACAGGTCCCTGAAACCTGGAGCATTAAGCACCATAGAAAATGGTGAGTCCCCTCACTGATACCTTTTTCCGTCTCTCTTACCTCCATGGTCCCACTTACCTGAGTCTGTCAACAGAACATTGTGTGATGAGTACTGTCTTTTTCTGGCCTACCACCCTGTCTTGTCTTTTAAAAAGGCCTTGAACTTAAGTTAATCTTAGTCAGTTTTTTAAAAACTTCCTGGAAGTCAGACCCTCAGCTTGTAAAGGTTCTACAGAAATGTGAAGTGTTCAGTGAACTAGAGATCACAGGCGGCCCTTCCTAGAAGCAGTTTTAAAATGTTTAGTGCCACATGCACAGCAATAGCTGACTTCTTTAAAAGAAGTCACTGAATCACCCCTGCCTAGACCGTTCCTAGTCTGTAAGGAGCTTGGTCAGTATGAGTACTGTGCCTTGCAGATGGTTATGTGGTCATTCATAAAAACTAGTGTCCCGTCTTCAAATGCGTGTAAGAAGGAAGGATGGCTGGGCTCTGACGGCTGGCCTTTCAGACCCCCTCCTTTGTCTCCTCTGAAGCCTTCTCCATATTCTCCTCATTGCTGCATAGCCTCTGCTCTGGGGAACACTTTCTAATGTCTGACCCACCACTCTGTTAGCTTCTGTCTAGACTTCTGCCTTCCTGTTTGCTTGAAGCTTCTCCAGCTCCTCTCTGTTCAGTCAGATTGATCAACCCCACAGAACTCCCAGAGCTCTTCTTAGCCTCAGTATTATAAATTATTTCCCTAATAGCGCCATCACTCGCCAGTAACTAGATTCTAACTTCCTGCACGCAAGGCCTTAAGTCTTTCTCATGTTGTGTTTCCTGTGGGCTGACATACCTTCAGAGAGTGGACTGAGTGGTCGCTGGGTTGTTTCTGCCAGACCATAATCCATCATCCACACATGCAGTTATCAGACTGCTGTTGCTCAGTCTGCAGTTTGTGTTGCCGGCTCCCCTCGCTTTCTGAGTCTCCCACAGTTTCTCTGTGGAATTCAGGAATGGCTCTTTCTATCTTGGATAGGTTTTACAAGCTGCTTTGGTAATGCCTACTTAGGGGACAAACTGTATCTTCTTGTGGGGCCATTTGGCTTTCTTCTAGTGGTGTTCCTCGGCACACCAGGAGGTCAGAGAACAACCCTGAGTATTGGTTGTCAGCTTCTACCTTGTTTGAAACAGGGTCTCTTTGTTGTCCACCATGAGCTTCTGCTGATCCTTCTGTTCCCGCCTCTCATCCTCCCATAGGCTTGTAGATATGCCCTGCCCTACCTGTATTGTGCAACAGTCTCTGTACCCAAGGAGCCATGATCTCCTCAGTCCCTGGGTTTTGGGTTTGCTTTCTCCTGTGTCTCATGGTATAGCCTGAACTTGAGATTCCCCTAGCACAAGATTCTGAAAACTGAGATAACAGTTGTCTGCTATCATGCTTCACTTCTCAAAAACACTTTTAAAAGATAGTGGGTGAGCCTTATCTTACCTTGAATGGTTAAAACATTCTCTTCTTGAAGGATCGGGATCTTAAAACACAAATGCAGAGATCCCTCTAGATCCAATCTAGATGAGGCAGTCAGCCTTCTCCAGCTGTGAGTTTATGCAGTTAGTAATCCACACTTCAAAACACGCAGTGAGGCAGGAGCAAGATAACGCTGTTTCAAAGGGAAAAATAGGCAGGAGAGGGATGATTGGTCCCAACGAAGTCCGGAATCCCATGGCTCAGCTTTGCTGGGCTCAGTCCTCCAGCCGCAGCCATCGCTGGAGTCTCAGGCTGTCAGCCCTGGCCCTGTGGCCTCAGACTTTTCCCTCTTGCCCATTTCAGTTCCCACCATTGAAGGCCTGCGCCACATTGTGGTGCCCCGAAACCTGTGCTCAGAATTTCTTCAGCTTGCCAGTGCCAATACCGCCAAAGGCATTGAAACCTGTGGAGTCCTCTGTGGAAAACTGGTAAGGACGTGTAACCTCCCTGAACTGGGGCTGCTTCCTCTGTGGCCTCTCCCATGACTGGGTATCTGGGAATTTCTCTATACCAATCCCTCCACAGAGTGTATGGCATGGTTCCAGGGGCAGGGGGAGGCAGATCCCTGAAGTTTACAAGGCTAGACAGGCAGCCTGCTTGACAGGTCTTGGGCCAGTAAGAGGCCTCATCTCGAAAACAAATAAATTAAATGTGTGAAGAACAACACACACACAGTTTTTCTCTGACCTCCACATGCACGGGTGTACATATACACTGTAATTCTTACTGGTCAGGAATGATACCTCATGCCTGTAATCCTACCCCTTGGGAATCTGAGACAGAAGACTTTCCACAAGTTTGAGGTCAGCTACATAGTGAATTCTGGCCAATATTGGCTATATAATATGACTTTGTCTTAAGAAAGAAAAGAAGAGGGCTGGAGACATGGCTCAGTGGTTAAGAGCACTGACGGCTCTTCCAAAGGTCGTGAGTTCAATTCCCAGCAACCACATGGTGGCTCAAAACCATCTGTAATGAGATCCAATGCCCTCTTCTGGTATGTCTGAAGACAGCTACATTGTACTTGTATAAATAAAACTAAATAAATAATATTTAAAAAAAAAAAGAAAAAAGAAAGAAAGAAAAGAAGAGGGGGTGGGAAAGAGGCTTATTTCTGAATGGAGGAGGACTCAGCTCCCCTGAGGCCTGTGAACACAAATCATCTACGGCTTTGCTTTGTGTCCACAAAGTGTGCAGGCCTTTGCAGAGACAGAAGAGACCCAGGGATAAAGAGTGCTGAGCAGGGGCTGGAGAGATGGCTCAGTGGTTAAGAGCACTGACTGCTCTTCCAGAGGTCCTGAGTTCAAATCCCAGCAACCACATGGTGGCTCACAACCATCTGTAATGAGATTTGATGCCCTCTTCTGGTGTGTCTGAAGACAGCTACAGTGTACTACTCATAAATAAAATAAGTAATTTAAAAAAAAAAAAAAGAGTGCTGAGCAGTGTGTCCACCACGAGATGGAGGACCTGGGAGGAAGGCAAGCCCCCTGAAGGCAGAGCTTGAACTCATTTCTCGATGCTCCAGAAAATAGTGACTTAGAACAAATCATACTTGGACCCTAGGTGACAAGGCTCAAGCAAGGAAACTCTTTAGACATGTGCAGGACACACTCTGGAGAGTGTCCCAAGATTTGGGAGCAAATCTGTTTGGCTGTTACAAGAAAGACCCTAGGGCTATGTCATTGGCCCGGCCTGTGCTAAGAGGGAGATCTGGGGCTTGTCTCAGCATCTGTGGCTTTATGGGCTACCCAGGCAAAGAACATGAACTCTCAGCTTAGTGAAGCACTGGAGTAAGGGACTGAGAGCCGTACCCAGTGGCTCCGTTTTCCCCACTCTGAATGAGTGGGGCTGAGAGCCCCCAGGGAGTTCTAACCTGTTGTTTTCTCCTTTGCAGATGAGAAATGAATTCACAATCACACATGTTCTCATCCCCAGACAAAATGGTGGGCCTGATTATTGCCACACAGAGAATGAAGAAGAAATTTTCTTTATGCAAGATGATCTCGGACTCCTCACTCTCGGCTGGATCCATGTAAGCAAATGTGACCACCTGGGCTTGGAGCTCCTCTTGTCTGTCAGAGCACACTGTCCACATCACTGTCTGAGCGGGAAAACCTCTCCAGATCATTTGCCTCTGCACACATGACTAGTGCTCTAGTATCAACTCAGAGTACCACCGAGAGCTTTTAGCTTTTTTCTAAACTTAATCTTATACTAAAAATAGCTCTTCAGTGTTTTGGTATCTCTGAGCTGGTAGGTGAGGGGAAGCTGGCCTAGAATGTTTGTAGGCATGCTATAGAGACCATCTACCTAAAAGCTGTGTAAGTGAAACTATTTTAAATAAGACAAGGAGTCCATTCTGATGGCTGTACCTTGTCTTATGGAGAAGCACTGCCCTATGCACACAGTTTTCCAGTGCTTGCATATACAGTAAACACTTCTGAGGACGATCTTCAAGGCAAGGCAACGCAACTCCTTCGCTAAAGAGTACTTCTGAATGTTTCTGGAATTTATAAGGCCTCAAGCTCACAGAACAAGCTGTTTTTCTTGGCATGTGACAGGTGTAAGTCACAATCAGGTGTTTTACTTCTAGATTCGAGAAGTCCCACACAGGTGTAGTCAGACCTAGGGAAATACTGATGTACAGGGGCAGCCTTGTGCCCTTGCAGCCTTCTCAGTTCAACTGTGTAAGTTCTCACTGGCTTGTCTAATTCAAGGATATGAAATGGCAGATGGAAAACTTGCCCTGTTATACCTGAGGACAAATAGAAGACCACAGAGAAAATGAGCACACACACACACACACAAAGCAGAGTGCACTGTGCTCTTCAGCAGGTCAACAGAGGATACTGCGGGTTTCAGAGAAAAAGGGACCACACCTGAGGTGACTTAGGATGACTTGTAATGAGAGGCCAGAGGAGAGCTTCATGGGGGAGAGATCAGCACTGGACAGGTACACCATGCTCCTGCAGCAGTGAGCTGTTCTTTTAGCTGGGATTTGTGGTTTTCATCAGAAAGAGATGCAGGGTCAAAGCAAGAGCACTGTCTGGGAGGCTTCTGTTACCAGCTTTGAGGCTGGCAACAGCAAGAAAAGTTATTCACTGGCAGCTGGGGAGATGGGCTACTAAGGGAGCATAAAGTGCAGTCTGTGGTGGAAGGACTCGAGGATGTGGGGGACTAGGGAATGTATAAAACACGAGAGCCGCAAAGCAGGGACATTGAGGGAGGAAATTCAGGATGCTCACCAGCCCTGGGCTCTAGCCTGGCAAAGACTCAGAGTATCTGCTAGAGTCGGGAGCTCACTGCCAGTATTAATCCAGTGAGACTCACTCTTGCAATGGTGGGGCAGAGGCTGTAAGGCTTTGTAGTCATGGGAAGCTGCAATTCTCACACTCAGCAGGGTGAGATAGGATTATGAGTTGTGGCCAACCTGGGCTACATAGCAAGACAAAAACAAAGGCAACAAAACAGAGGAAGTCCTGGGATGATTGATAGGGAAGGTAGAGGCTGGTAGGGAGGGGGAGATGTGAGGTGCTCTTAGCACAGCAGGGTGGACAGACTGAGTACCTGCTTGTTAAGTGTAGAATGGCTTGGTCGTGCTTTGCTTTGACTTGACTTTGATGGTCCAAAAGCTTTGTGAGTGTTCATGGACTGATAGTGCAGGACACCGAATCATTAAGCCAACGTCTAAGTGCACATACTACCCAAATAAGGAGACAGGACCCTGCCACGAGCCTGCTCTGCCCCTCCCACTTTCTGTCTCCTAGAACGAGCCCCCTCCTGCTCCCACCACCCCGTCTCCCTTCCTGTGGAGTTCACCTCCTAAGGATGACTCCCTTCTTTCTGTACTTCAGCTCAGCTTGGGTCTCACCTTCTTGAAATGCAGTTATAAGATTTGTAATTTTTGATTTGCAGCTGCCTGGTGTGTTTTTACACCTGGAGAGCAGTGTGGAAGGAGAGAAAAGGCAGGCATGGCAAGATAACATAGCTTAGGACAGCATCACATCAGAAGGGCACAAGGGGCTTGTATTTGTATAAAGAGAAAGCACACAGCCCTCTGAGTCAGGGCTCAAGTCAGAGAGCTGCAGACTCAGAGAGATTGAACTGACGTTGGAAGGAGTCACAGAACCTCTTCAGTGAGGCTGGGTGAGGCTCTGCTGCTGAGCAATGGGGAGGGGGAGGGGCCTGGAAGGGGGAGGGGCCGGAGAGGCGGCTCCGTGGTTAAGAGCTCTTGTTGCTCTCCTAGAAGATCTGAGTTTGGTTTCTAAAACAGCCTCCCATAACTCCTGCACCAAGGGACCCGACACCCACTTCTGGCCTACCCACAACACCTGCACACATGTGGCATGTATTCTCACAGGCATGTGCTAATGGAAACATAAGTAAGACAACTTTTGTTTAAATATTTTTTTAAAAGAAAAAAAGAAACTAAAGGAGAGGCTGGCTCCAAAGCAGTTAATGTTTAGACACCAAACATAGTCATGGTTTAGACCTCAGGAAGAATTAAATTAAGCATGGAAGGGGTCTAGATCTCCATGAGGGCCCAGCTAGGGACACAAGGATAGAAGAACAAAAGAGGACTGGCCAGCTGGTTCCCTATGTAAAAGCACCGCTGCCCAGCCTCTCACCTGTGGCCTACCTGGTGGCAGAAGAAAACTGACTCTCACAAGTTGTTCTCTGACCTGCACATGCACCCATGATACAGATAGGCAAACACACATGCACACTCACTCACACACACACACATAAATATAAATATAATTTTTGAAATGAAAAAAGTAGGGTATAGGTCTTCTCCTATTTTTAAATTTCACGAGAAAATACAAAGATCAGTTCTTTCTCTCCTTCAGTGCACGGTCTATTTCCTACCTGACAGCTGAGACCCTGGCCTCAGACATCTCAATCCTCACCGTCTTCATTTTGTTTCTCAGAGCTTTTAAAAGCTCATTTTATGCCATGTTTTCAAGGCATAAAGTTGATAGAAATCATACAAACCTACATATGATGTATAACATGTTTTGAGACATGTAGACATTGTGAATGCTGAGTTGACATGCTCTTTGTATGAAAAGAATACATACTTACTCTAGGCCTGGCAGCTCATAGCTGTGTCACAGGACTTAGGAGGCTGGGGCAGGAGGTGAGCTTGAGACCAGCCAGAGTTATACAGTTAGTTCTAGGGCAGCCAAGAAACAAGATCTACAGAGTTAGATCTTGTTTCCAAAGAAATAAAATTCATCTTAGTCATTTGTGGTTCCATGCTCTGCCTCACTGCTGTGGTGTGTGAACACGGTGCTAGGCTACAAACATAGCCTAAGATGGGGGCCCTAGCACAGGTGAGAAAAATAAAAGAGACAGGCTGGGGCCAAGGCTGGGGTTTCCAAACTCCTGGACACCCAGATACTGCTGGGAACCCCAAGGAGTCGGGAAAGGGGGCCACAGACCAGCGATGAGTCTGGGGGTGGGGGGAGAGGGAATCCAGCTTAACTCGGGGGCACAGAGGGGCCTTCTGTGGGAGACTTAGGCAGCGCAGCTCTGTATGACGAAGGCGTCCCTCCACAGGGATTCTTGATGAGTGACAGTCCTTACTTTTCAAAACTGTTTATTGGTAGTGAAAAATGGATGCTTATGACCTATTCAGGGTGGACCAGAGGTTAAATACTTGAGAAGGGAAGCTTATTGGCTAAACCCTCGGGGCCAACCAGATACCTCAGTAGCATGGAGAACTCTGTGTTCTATGCTATGTGACCGTTTGTCACGATCTTCATCTGGTGTGTTGTGGTCACTTGCTCCAGGACAGAAACCAGGTCTGGAGTAGATGAAATGCCTACCGTTCTCAGATACAAGAATTACCAGCGTTTCTGAATCTGCTCAGCCTTCCTGGTTTTTGTCTGGTGACACAGTTCCACTTGCCCGACAGTCACTTTCCAGTATAGAGTGCACACTGTTGTACTCTGATTGCTGTGTTACAAATCTCTTGATCTTTCAAGGACCTTTAGAGTCCCGCACACTGGTGTTAGATTCCTCCTGCTTACAGTGCTGGGAAGAAACTCACTATGAGGGTCAAGTGTATCCCTCCTGGCTGCAAATAGCTCTCTACTTGAAGAAGTGGTTGAGGCCAACTGTTGGGGGCTCCTCTGACCTGCCTGCCTCAGCAGACCAGCATGGCAACTGGGTCACTGGAAATTCTCTGATCTGTTTCATCTTTCAGACGCATCCCACCCAGACGGCCTTCCTGTCCAGTGTGGATCTGCACACACACTGCTCCTATCAAATGATGTTACCAGAGTCCATAGCAATTGTCTGCTCCCCAAAGTTCCAGGAGTGAGTATTGAAGAGGTGGTTCTGGGTCTTACAAAGCAAAAATTCTCTTATTATTGAAAGCAACTGTGTGTGAGTGTGTGTTTGCTCATGTTTGCACATAAGCGAGTGTAGGAAGGTGCCTGTACATACATGTGGCGGCCAGAGGCTGACTTGAAATACCTTTCTCTTGCTTTTCTACCTTCTTGTTTTGGACACAGGGTCTCTTGCTGAGCCCAGAGACCACTGGTTCAGCTGGAGACCTCCTCTCTACCTCCCTTGCTTGAGGATTTTAAATGTCTTCCATCTTGTCAGGCTGTTTCTGTAGATACCAGAGATACCATCATGGGTTCTCATGTTTGTACATCAAGGATTTTACCAACTGAGCCATCTTCCAGGCCCGAAGACCTTTTTAAAAATAAAATTCATAAACTGTCTTAATTGTCTGCTCTAGAAGGTCTCCTTTAAGCTCCATGTTCTGGTAAAGATGACTTACTCTTTAAAAGATATCTTCATAATTTTGATTTTCTAAGAAAAACCTTCAAGAAATTTGAACTGTTTAGAGTTACAAGAGCCTAAGGCTAAAGGTTAAAACTTCCCACATGGTACACTCTCTCCAAGTGTTGCTTCTTTTCATTCCAGATGTCCTGTTTACTGTGAATTCTCCAGCAGACCTAATACGGGGACAGTGATGAGCTAGCCTTTTTAGTTTTCATTTTTCAAGTGTCACTTTTGTGCACTTAACGTTATACCACAGGTTCAGTGACTCTGTGCTCGCCATTCCCTGTCTCTTCCTCAGACTGAAGAATCTTAATTAACCTAGCTAATTAATTGTTCATTGGTCCTTGTTTTGTTCCTGCTTAAAGCTGTTGCTGATTTGCTCAAAGGAAGTTTTCACTTTAGTTCTGATTTTCAACTAGAGATTTCCTCTTTGGAGACTAGAGAGATGGCTCAGCAGTTTACAGCACTTGTTGCTTTTGCAGAGGACCTGGGTTCAATTCCCAGAACCTACATAATGGCTCTTGCTTTCCTGTCACTCCAGTTCTAAGACTCTGTCACCCTTTTCTGGCCTCACTGTGTCCCAGGAATGTAAGCAAAAGCACTCATAGAATGAGTAAGTCTTTAATAAGAAGAATTCTTGTTCGAATCTTCTTTATAATCACTAGATAAATTATTCCTTAACTATGACCCCGTCTCCAGAAAAGAGTGCTATAAGCCAGTATATTGTGAAAGCTGTCTCAAAATTACCTCAGTCTGCTGAATCAGTGTGGTTGCCTGGAATGTGTGTGTGTAATAGAAAGGAAGTGTCTTAATTAGAATTTCTAATGCTGTGAAGAGACACCATGACCACACAGCTCTTATAAAGGACAACATTAATTGGCTGGCTTACAGTTCAGAGGTTTGGTCCATTATCACCATTGTGGGTCATGGCAGGAATGCAGGCAGACATGGTGCTGGAGAAGGAGCTGAGAGTTCTTCATCTTGATCCACAGGCAGCAGCAGGAGACTGTGTGCCACACTGGGTATAGCTTGAGTATATAAGACCTCAAAGCCCACCTCCATGGTGACACACTTCCTTTAACAAAGCCACACCTCCTAATAGTGCCACTCTCTATGGCCAAGCATTCAAGCACATGAGTCTGTAGGGGTCATTCCTATTCAAACCTCCATGGGGAGGAAAACAGACAAGATGGGTGTTAGGATTGAGGGGGATGGACTCCTTGGCTTGACTCCGAGTCTTCTCTTTCTTATTTCAGAACAGGATTCTTTAAGTTAACTGACTATGGCCTTCAAGAGATTTCAACCTGCCGGCAGAAAGGCTTTCACCCCCATGGCAGAGACCCATCGCTGTTCTGTGTACGTATCTATGTAGAAGCCGGCAAGCACATGAAACTCATGAGATGCATGGTCCTTTCTAACCCACATGCATTCAGCCCTGTCACTCACCGTCCCAGAGTTACATAATCCACATGGATGCAGGAAACAGTGGGCATTGGAAGTAGGCTCGGCTCTCAGCTATGTTACCCTGTGACTTCATGTTTGAGGCTGCTGACCCTTCCTGGGTCTTTCCTGATCTGTGGGATAATAAGAATACTTACTTTACAGGGTCGATGAGAGGATGAAATAAGTGGGATGCTGGTGTAGCCCAGTGTCAGGATGCAAGCTCAGCATGCCTGAGGCCCTGGGTTCGATCCCCAGCATCACTGGAAAAGGAAGTAATAACAGAAAGTACCTGATGCACTGTCTGCTTATTGAATGTTACTTTGTTCTCTGTGAGTTACTGAGTTTCAGTCAGCAGTCTGAGGGCAGAGGGAAAAGCCATGTCAGATAGGTAAATTAAGAATGAAACAATCCTAGAATTTTGCCTACAAAGTAGGGTTCTCCCCTCCCTAGGAAGTGGTTTCTTCACCCCGGTTGTGTCCATGATAGCAGGGTTAGCTGATCAGATGTCAGCGATCAGATGAGCCTCGGATCAATGAGATTCTGGCACTCTCTTCCACACCATTTTTTTGGGTCCAGAGAAAAGCAAACAATATAGAGAAAGGAATCAGAGCCATGCCTCATAAAATATGAAAGATCTAGGGATAGGTAGAAGTGAGACCCATGGAAGATTAAGATCATGGGATCTGGGAGCTGATTTTATGTGGTAGAACAGTTATTATATATGCATACACACACACACACACACACACACACACACACATATATATCCTTTCACCCAGGGAGGGTGTGATTCAGACCATGAGTAGAGCTTGCTGGGAATGGTGATTCCCAGGCCCCGTTACTGTAATTGCTACTGACATCATGGTCTGGCTTCCAGATCAGGAGCCACTGACCTTGAGCCAGCATTTTATTTACTTAATTAGTTTTCAGAACATCACAAGAGTACTGCCTCTACATCACTCCCACCCCTGCCTTCCTCTCCAGGCTCTCCCACGCCCCCTCTTCTCCCTCCCAAATTCATGACTTCTTTAATTATTATTATACACACACACCCTCACACATGCACACACGCGCATGCATGCGCACAGACACACATACACACATACATATATACAGCCTACTGAGTGCATTTAGCTTTGTTCCCACACCCCCGTGTCCTGGGATGACCACTTGGGATTGGACAATGGATGTATTCAGGAGCTCGTCCCTGGAGAAAACTCGCTCTCCCTCTCTCAGCAGACAATGCCCTCCTGTAGCCTGTCATCTGTGGACAGTGTGAAATTTCTCCCATCCATGTCATGTCAGACTGATGCTGTCAATATGCTTGTCTTGTTCATGCAACCGTATTGTTGCTATTTCATGGATGTGTTTTCCCCATGAAGCCTAGGGCTCACTGTGTAACAGCAGGCAGGCATCCTGGTTCTCTGGCCCCTCATCTGAGATTGTCCCTGAGCCTTGGGTTTCCTGGGTGCATTGTAGCGATGTCATTTGTTTTCTGTGTTTGGATCAGCTGTAGCCCTCTGTTCTAGTCTCCATCTGCTGCAAAAGGAAGCTTTGTTGATGAAGGATGAGAACTGCCCTTATCTGTGTGTAAAAGGATGTTTAGAACAGTCAGAAACTATATTGGTTTAGAAACACAGCAGTAGTGAGATCTTCTCTCAGGTCTGTGATCTCTCCAGCTATGGCTAGATTTACAGTAACAAGTACAAATTCTCTCCCACCCAGAAGGCCTTGAGTTCCATTAGGCAGCTGTTAGTCACTCCTGAGAAAAAAGCGCCCCTATTGTGCCAGTGTGGATGTCTCGCCTGTGTGGTCATTGCTGTGGCTCGTAGGCGTTATAACTGGGCAGGACATCCAATTGCCCCTCTTCCTTAGCAGCTGCATAGTACCTCTCAATACTATAAGAGCCAGTCCTTAGCAAAGAGGCTTCCCAGGTCAGTTCCAGCTCAAATCCTCCAAGTACCATGTCTAAAAGAGCATGGTATTTTCAGCAATAGTGTTTTACCTGGAAGTTCTGGAAGGTGACCAAGGCCAATGACAATAGCTCTTACTGTTTTAGGAGACTTGTATTCTACAACCGACAACTCAGAGAAGTTTTTCATGCCTAGAAATGGGATCTTGTTAGATAGTAAATGGTTTTTGGGGAAAACACCATCACCCCATGTGGTGTGTGTATTTATTTATATATGTGTGTGTCTGTGTTATATAGCTACATAGTTATATGTATATATGTATGTATACATATATACTCCCTGTATACATATACCCTGTATACATATATAAGTATATAATTATGTGTAGATCTTAAAACTATGTAACTATATAACTATGTATATGTACATATATATTACACATATACTAATATTATATATATATTAGGTGGAAACAGGATCTCAACCTGGTGAGCCTAGTATTCACTATGTAGACCAGACAGCCTTGAACTCACAGAAATCCACCTGCCCCCTGCCTTCTGCCTCCTAGTGCTGGAATTAAGCATGTATGCCATTATAGCTAGCATATTTTATGTATACTTAAAGTAAACTTATAAAATGGCATGCTTCTTTGTTGTTAAGCACCCTTAGTGTTCTTATCTCATCTTCCCTCTCTCCCTGTATTTGTCTTCCTCCCCATTCCCAGCTAGGTCCCCCATTACTCTCTTAAAGCCCTCTGTAGCACTTGACTCCTCCTCCTCCCCCTCTCTATAGAGCTCCTGCTCCACCTCCCTGCCAGGGCCCCTTTCTACTCTCCTGGCTTCTTCTCATCCATCAGGGTACATACTCAAATGTAAAGATTCAGAACTAAAATCGACAAAGAAAATACTTGGCATTTGTCTTTCTGGATCTGGGCTACCTTGAGTGGGCATTTTATTTTTTTTTTTTTATAATTTATTTTTTTTCAAATCGTAATTCATTCACACAGGAGTTATAAACACAGTAGGCAGGACGTGGGGAAGGGGATGACACTGGAGTATGGATGTTCAGGGGGAATACAGATATCTTTCAGAACAGGGTATCAGCTGGGTGAAGGTTCAGGGGACAGGTCACTGTGACTCTGCCTATGACTCACTTGTCCTTATCTAAGTTGGTATTGTCTGCCAAGGCTACCTATGTACAAGGTCTATGACTACTCGGGCTGGTAAACTTGAATGGGCATTTTAATGAGATGTTTGGGACTGGACATGTAGCTCAGCTGGTGGAGGGATTTCTTAACAAGCCCCTGACCCTGGCTCCAATCCCCAGTGCTAACGAACAGAGCATAGTAGGACATACTTATAATACCAACACTCAGAGGTAGCACCAGAAAGATCTAGGCCATCCTGAGCTACCTAGAAAATTTGAAGCCACTCATAGTACCAAGGCTCAAATAAATGTTTTTTAAATGACTCTAAAGGATTTTCCACAACTTCATTGTTTCTTCTTTTTCCCTTTCAGGACTGCAGCCATGTCACTGTCAAGGACAGAATTGTGACGATCACAGACCTTCGATAAATCTCAATCATGAACCAGGAAGATGGCTCACTGGGTAAAAGCACTTGCCACCAAGCCCAAAAGCCCAAGTTCAATACCTGGTACTCACATGGTAGAAGGAAAATACCAACTTTTCCCAAGTTGTCCTCTAACCTCCATTTGTGTATTGTGGTATGTACACACACACACACAAACACACACACACATTATTAATTTAAAAATGAATAAATGTAAATTACAAAAGAATCCTACCGTCCTCTAAAGCTACATCCTGTTCAGTTTACCAGCCCCCTGTGGGGTTAAGTAAGCGTTTAAGACAGAATAGGAAAGGGTCAACACTGGGGGGAGACTATTGATTTTATTTTTATTTGAAATCATCTCAGTTTTTAAGACAAATATGAAAATGAGCAAATCACACCAAGCAACTAACTCAAAAATTAGGATGGGAGAGAAACACCTCTCTAGATCCAACCACTGGCCTTCTGTCCCTCTTGAAATTTATCTACCAACCTGTTCATCTCTGCCTTTGGACTAAATAGAGTCATCCGTGCAAAACTGTGAAAGCCATTTTGAAGGATTTGGCTTTTTATTGTCTGTGGCATTACTAAAGGAGCTTGTCATTCTGGTGGGATTTGCATGAGGAGCTCACAGGCGCCCACACATTGATTTTTGTGAAAAAGTATATTATCTAAAAGGTTAGGGCGTTATTTTCTTCTGTAATAAAACGGCTCACCTGTGTTATGCTCTAGAGTGATTTGTCTGTCTGAGTGTCACAAAAAACACTTGACTGTGGGCAAGTGGGGTGGTGTGTGCTGCACTGAACTGTGTTCCACTTCACTTCTGATTAGTCAGTGTGCCTGCCTGCCTGCCTGCTCCCTCCTCCACAGCAGGAAGTCGTCTCTCATTTTGCTGTTGTCTCAGAGTGGGTCTTCCCACTTTCTCCCTAAGCCTGACAGCCTTCAGCCCAGGCACTGGAGCATTTCAGAGTTCCTGGTAACACCCAAGTCAACGGTGCGGTTGCGTAGCCACCCACCCTGCTAAGTCCACTGTGCTGGCTTCTTCTTGTGAAATGCTTAGGATGGTGTGGGGGACCTGTTTTCACAATGAGCGGCAAACTAAAGGTAGCCTAGAAATCTGTGACACTAACATGAGAGAAGAGTGAACATGTTAAATAGTAGAATGAGGTTTTTTAGCATGCATGCGTTGTGTGTGCACTATGTGCATACAGGTGCCTGCAAAGCCAAAAAAGGGCTTTGGTTTCTCTAGAACTGGAATTACAGGAAGTTGTGAGATGCCGTGAAGGGTGCTGGGAACAGAACCCAGGTCCTCTACAGAAACAGAAAGTGTTCTTAATTACTAATCCATCTCTCTAGCCTCCCAAATTGATACTCTCAATTAAAGCAACAATGCAGCCTTCCTAAAATATATGTGGACACATGCATTCAGAAAAGGATGAATTCATATCCAAGGGTAGACTTATGAAATTTTATTCCCCCTCTTTTAAATTTTTCCCAACTAGAGAGAACATATACTGCCTTGTAACTGGACAAAAAGGGCAGTACCTCTTATCTAAAAACCAAAACTCCACTGCCCCCTCATTGTGGGAACCCAGCCAAGACCTGCTTCCTGGACAAGCTCAGTGAGGGGGCCTTGGTAATGCTCTTGGGCAAAGCAGCAGACACATGTCATATATGGAAACCTTCCATAAAGCTGACCTCACTGCTGGAACTTGTTCAACATAAACCTTGCCTCCAAGAGCTAGCAGAAATCTTTGGCCAAAGCCTAGTAGATGGAGAGCTAAGAACAGCCTAAGATATGAGTCGCTGTTGCTATGCCTATGTCCTGTGCACAGTTCTGGGCCCTTCAGGCTGCTCAGTTCCCTGTGAAAGACTGCTCTTTACAAAGTCACCCTCCTCCAGAGAAGAGCTGCTGCAGTGGCTTTCCGTTGTTTCTGCCTTCTGAGCTTGGAAAACACAGGGCAGCATTGCTTAAAGTGAACACCACAATGGTAACTGGTGGGTGGCGGAAGTGGAACCATCTCCTACACAAAAGGAAGCGAAGCCATTCTTAGATACTCCTCTGCCTGTTCTCTGCCATTATAGCTTTGCAACCCCCGGCATCCCTATTTTCACCTCATTTTGCCTTTTAAAAATGTTAATGGTTCTTGGCACAGTGATACATGCCTGTAACCCCCACGCTGTGGAGGCTGAGGCAGGAGGCTCAGCCTGAACTACTCAGTGAAACCTTTTTTAAGAAATGTTAATGGCATTGCACCAAAGCCAAAGTTTATCCCAATGTACATCCATATCACCTAAGCATTGGCCATGCTGCCACCTTAAACAGCCCTTAGCCCCCGTGTCTAGAGCATCTCAGACCCAGTACAGTGTTTACCCCTTTCCCAAGACTTGGAAGCTTTTAATCATCGTCTTTGATTGATTCATGGCAAGCCCAGGATATGGTCACACAGTATTTTCATTCCTAATGTACCATGGCTTTGAAAGCACACTACTACTAACTATGACATTGAGGCTTTAGCTGACCACAGAGAAAGGAAATTTATATTAGTTCAAATTATTTTCATTGCACTGACAGAAAATCCAATTGGTGTTCAGACACAGCTGTATCCAGTGTCCACCATTCACTTGGTTCAGGATTGGTCATTCGAGTTATTCCATTAAAGTAACAGACAGCTATAGTTTAATAGCCTATTGTCCTGAGAACTCTATCTAAAAGTGATTTATGGGTTTCAACACAACTCCTGGAATTGAGTTGTTGGGTCATGAGTTTGGCCACAGCTCATCCTGGGACCAGTCACTATGGGCCAGAAGGATGGATGGTTCTGATTGGTCAGGCCTTGGTTGAAAGCCTATATCCCACCCAACCTGCATGCTTTGAGATCAGGGAGCATTCTTTTCCAAACAATACCATGGTAGCCTCAGAAGCAGAAGTGGATGCTGACCTGGGGGAGGCAGCAGACGTCTGCAACGATGCCACGGATGAGAACCTAAGGCCACAGGCAGTAGTCCCAATAGTGTGAGTTAAGTAGATTTAATCATAACATCCAGTGTTGTGGAACACAGGTAACAGCAGCTGCATTAGGGGGTACTGACATGCTCCCCAAAACATGAGTCATATGTCCAGACCATGACTCAGTCACTTGAAGGTGCCTACTATGTACAGAACACTGTTTGAAATATGAAGGGAAAAAAAATACGACAGCCTCTGACTTCTACAAACAGATGTGGAGAAAGGAGCTACATTCCTGTGACAACACAAGACCAATTTCATCACAAGTGACAAATGTACACAGGATAGTGACTGACAGACCCGAGAGAGAGATTCACTGTAGTTATTTATAGTCCTCTTCCCATTCATTCAGCAAAATTTTACCATGCACATACTAAACACCAAGTCTTAGTTTTGAGGAGGCCAGAAAAGGATCCTCTTTTATTGATCCAGATGCCCCAGAGCTGGAGTCACGGGGCTGGGATCTGCCTGCCGTGGGTGCCGGGAAGTGGATTTGGTCCTCTGTAAGAGCAGCAAGGGTTTTAACTACTGAGCCATCTCTCCAGCCCTGACTCCTACTTTTCTTACACTTGGATAAAGAAGAACTCTTAGGCAAAATAACCTTTAAAAAGTCAAATGAGAAAGCTGTGGGAGAGAAAAGGCTACAGAGGATCTCCTAAAAGCCAAAGCTTGCAGTGCACTCTCCACTGACTGAAAAATATCAGTGAGGCAGCTCCACAGAGCCTCCGTCAGGCAGCTCCACAGAGCCTGTCTGCCTCCGTCTGTCTGAGCTCTAGGAACAACTAACTTTTCCTTCTGTCTATCTCTCTCTGTCTCTTTCTCTCTCTCTCTCTCTCTCTCTCTCTCTCTCTCTCTCTCTCTCTCTCTCTCTCTCTGTCTCTCTCTTTCTCTGTCTCTTTCTCTGTCTGTGTCTCTGTCTCTGTCTGTCTCTTTCTCTCTGTCTCTCTGTCTCTCTGTCTCTCTCTCTCTCTCTCTCTCTCTCTCTCTCTCTCTCTCTCTGATACTGTCCAAACCTTGAACATCATGTCCCTGATGCTCTGACTTTCTCATTCTTTCTCTGAAGCCCACCCATCCCTTCCTCCAGGCTACTGCACGTGTCCCACACATGTGCACATGCAAGCCCACAGTCTGCCGCCTGGAATGTCACACACACACACACACACACACACACACACACACACACACTTAAATAAACCTAAAAACAAAATATAAAGACAAGACAATAAAACATAGAGTAAGTGTGGGGCACGGCAGTATGTACACATCTGTATGTACACATCTGCAATCCCAGTACCAAGGAGGCAGAGGCAGAAGAACAAAGGCGTTGACACCCATTCTTGACTGCATAGTTAAGTTTGAGGCCAACCTAGGATATATAAATCACCACCATTGTTGTCAACAACATCATGATGATGATGATAATGATGACAACGACCCCAGAACTACTGCCACCAAAGAGAAATAGAAAGAAAGAAAGAAAGAAAGAAAGAAAGAAAGAAAGAAAGAAAGA